CGCCACCTCCGCCGCCCAGAGCCCGCCTTCGCCGCCGCGCTCTTGGGCCAGGAGGGGAGGTTGGGGGGGACGCCCCAGCTGGAGGGGGCGGGAGGAGGAGGAAGGAGGAGGAAGAGGAGGAGGCAAGGCAAGGCAAGGCAAGGGGGCGGGGAGGGAAGGCTCCCTTTTGCTCTCTCGCTCGTTCGCTCTCTTTTGGGGAGGGGGGCTCAGCCTGGCCCTGCGCTGAGGCAGGAACCGGCCCTTCTGACCATCGGCCGTTCTGGCATTTGCCAGAATTGCCAGATGGCCAGTCCGGCCCTGCCTAGAACAAATTCAGAAGGGTGCAGCATTAAGAAAAGAAAAACTTCCATCCTTAGCCTTTCAACTTCTACCTCTCTGTGCTGATTGACAGAAGGCACACTTTTTAAAAATCACAAATTAAAAAAAATATAAACTTTGCTGTCCCTCTCTGATCCAGCAGCGGAACTCATTAAAGGTGGAAAAGGAAAGGAGGTAAGAGGGGAAAGGCTATATTCAGCATGCAAGGCTGCACCCTTAAAGTGGTGATTGACATGGCAAGCTCCAATAGCTCTGCTCTCTTGAGGAGGGGAGGCATGGAAGGAGAGAGCAGCATTCAGACACTCTTTTTATTATCTTTCCCAACAGGTGATCAATGGTATCAAATCACATGTAGTTCTAGAGATAGATTCTCTTTCTGCATTTCTTCTGAAGTGTGTCTGCTACACATTGGACCATGTTTTCTCCCCCATTTCATTAATATTTTTCTCTTCACTGCTTACCCAAAGGAGCAATGAGGAATATAGACTTAAAAAAAAAATCAAAACCCTAAAAATCTTTGTAATTAGAACTGAAAATGTTGCAGCCAGGCTGACAGCCTGCTTTGACAAGTCTGCTTTCCCTCCAAATGCCCTGCTTCAAATTTTCATCTCTTTGGCACCGAATATTTTGACATTTGTGCTTTCTTGGCTCTCTCTCTGAAGCCCAGTGGAACCTGCAACCTAATGAAAATTAGGGCCATTATTTTTCTTCTTCTTCCTTTTGAGGATAATAATAGCTTTTAAAATATAAAGAGAAGACAGAATTAATCTATTTACTCGAAGCCTGTCTGCTTCCTGACCTGGCTTCATCACCTGAGGGGACAGAGACAGAACAAATTAGTCTAAAATATAAATGACGAAAAACCAAGAAGGGTGTGCTGTGTGTGTGCGGAGTCTGCCTGAGTATATGTATGTGCTATGTGTTTATAGCACTGTGCTCCACCCAAAGAACATTAAGCAGAACATTCAAAAATTGATTTCCTGGGTTAAGACCAAGGTTTGGTGATAGTCACCATGCTCAGGTCCAGCTCTAGGTTTCTATACTTCTTTGTTGGATAGATATTCCATGTCCCTCCCCGAAACGGGACCCAAGCTGACTCACAGTCCAGGTTGCCAAGTCTTAATGCTCTGACTGAAACACTAGCGTTTTGCGGTCGCAAGGGCCTGCCCCCCCCCCCGGTTTCACGTTTTCACTCTGAATCTCAGGAAACAGGATGTTGCTGACCTGGCAACAGTATTCACAGTAAGAACATTAAAATGCACATGCATGCACATGACAATCAAAACACAAAACAAATTCAAATATTAAAACAGAATTAAACTAAAAACACAATTTTCAAAGATTAACAAAGAAAAGACAGCACCCAGCCAGTAAAAACCTCCCCCTGTAGCAACCAGTCAGTCTCCAAAGGCAGGGATTTCTAGAGCCTGCAAGCAGCCACTGAGAATGCCTTCTTTTGCATTCCCACCAATCACATCTCTGTGGATGGTCAGACCAAGAGAAGGGCATTGCTCTAGGGCAATGGTCCCCAACCTTGGGCCTCCAGATGTTCTTGGACTACAACTCCCAGAAGCCTTCACCACCAGCTCTGCTGGCTAGGATTTCTGGGAGTCCAAGAAAATCTGGAGGCCCAAGGTTGGGGACCACTGCTCTAGGGAGCCCTGCCTGGATTTCTAGCCACCTAGAGTGGTCGAGTAGACCAGATAGGCAGGGTATAAATCAAATAAATAAATAAATAAATTTTGGTCAGTGGATAGTGGCCAGCTTGGCCAGCAGAGCAAGCAACACTGCCTGTCTGGGTATAGGCAGCCTAGAGTTTCCAGATCCTGAGATTTCAAGGCCAAAGGCTGAGATCAGGGCTTGTCCCTTGTGATCTCACAAAGGTAAATTCTTGGAATGTCAGTGAGGTGGTTCAGGCAAGGTTTTGGATGGGGTGGAACTATTTATCAGTCAGCTGATTTTGGATATGTGCTAAAATCAAGGTAGAATCTAGCAAACCAGCTAACATGGTAACCCAAACTTTTAAGTTTCTGGACAAATTCCTTTTTGTTATACCGTAGAAGTGAAGAGACCCACGAAAGAGAATAACGACAAGTTCCCCAGAGTTCACTGCTTCCTCATTGACTACATTTGAAATCTTAATAATTCAGATATTTGTGGGTAAAAGAATTTTAAAAAACACATTTCTTTACTTATAGTTGTTTGAAAATCAAAAACTTGTGTTTGCTGCTTTCTTTGCTGCGGACATACTTAGCAACCAATTGAATATATAAGCAACAAACAAGTGCCTCCAACAGATAAAATAGAGACACGTGTCTTTTTGAAGTTATAGGCTGGAAGGAACAATTGGTTACTGCTGGATAGATAGACTATCAATCCCAGCCCAGAAAAGCCCCTCCCAGTCACAGATACTACAGATAGCATGCAATGTTGCAAATAAAACTCCAGCAAAACCAAGGGGAAAGAAAGCTTCATTTTTTTGGTATTTTGACAGGCAGCAAAATGCACTGAGCATCTACAGCATTCCAGCTCACATTTGCATCCCACACAACCTTAACTACACATGACACATTAACTCTACACTGTTTCTCGGATCTATGGAAGGCTACCTTCCAACCTAATGGCAGAGGTTTTTTTTAACTTCCTAAGTGTTGCGTTGTTGCAGCTGTTGCCAGACAGTGTGTGACACGGTGGCTCACAAGTTGTTGCAGTTTCACTCTTTGCCTTGTTCTAAATGGCATGAGGAGGTCTTTCCTCTGCCCCCTTGCCCACAAAGACAACACACATAAAACACCTTTACACTGAGCCACTTGAGCCCTGGCATCAGCTGGGAACAGATGGAGATGAGTGCTTGGCTTTAAAGGTAGCTCAACTACAAACATCAAACTTTTCATATTAATAACTGTTAATCACTGGAATACTATAAGATGACTGTCTGTTTATTATACTTCTATTTTTTAACTATTCTTTAAACCATAAACCAACTATACCACATCAACTTTCCCTTCTGTCTCTTTCATTACTATGTTCTCTTTCTCCATCTTATCAACTTTTTAATTATCTACAAACTTCCTTTTACTTAGATATTGTTTTATATATTTGTTTCCTTTGTGTGTTGTAAACCGCCTAGAGTGGTCAATATGACCAGATAGGT